TAATTTAAAGAAGAAACCAATCCGATGTATATTTGACATTTGAGGCTTAATACTATAGAAAAGCACTAAAAGTTTTACAGTTAAGAGTGTTTTCAGCTTGTTTATTTTAATATAAAAATACGGCATGCAGTTGCTTCAAACAATGAATAAACATCATTCAATGTAAATTGTGACAATCGAAATGAATAATCGCAATTATAATTTCAAGGGTATAATCGACAATTATGATTTTTGTCATAATCGTGCAGCCCTAATTCATGGTCAAATTATACATTTGTCTTTCTGTTTTAGATTAGCATACCAATTGATTATCATGTTATGTTAGCATACGTTAACTGATCAGCCTGCTAATTTGAAAATCTGTTTTGATTATCTCTTTTGACCTAAATCCTGCATATTTAGGTAGTTAGTTAATTAGTTGGTTCATTTATAAATATAAAATATAATATTTAAAAAAAACAATTTTTTTATTGTATTTCATTTTACAAGGCTTCACCTATAACAAACTCCTGTTTTTGTTCTGGTACTATTGGAAGGGTTTAGGTTTCTCATTTTGTTTTGTTTTGTTTTGCCCTGCTTCCTCCTTCCTCATTGTGCACTTCGAGCCATTCACCGTACAAGAAATACTACACTGTGAACAAGCGACCGATCTTAGCCGCAGCTTCAGCGTCTATTTATAGTGCAGGGGGCGGGCGCTTCGGTTTCTAGAGAGCGTTTGATTGGTCAGAAGATTTGATGAGAAGATGAAGTACGATGTGACGTCAAAAAAATCGTTGAGCCGTTTTGGCGGAAGTCACAAACTGCAAGCTTTGAATGCTTATATCTTATAAATGCAAATTTTGTCACTGTTTTGGAGCACACTGCCTTATAGATAACCTTAAGACTAACATAATGATACTAACACCCAAAAAACTTTAATTTTGATTTCATGGGGACTTTAAAAAGAACCATTTCCACTATAAAGAACCTTCTGTGCATTTGAAAGGCTCCATGGATGTTAAAGGTTCTTTATGGAACCTTAGATGCCAATAAAGAACTTGTATTTTTAGGAGTATAAGAGTAGTCAGATGTGGGTTTGGGCCATACAGAGAAATAGATCTTGTCTATTAAAGTATAACATTCCTGAGTCTTTAGCCCAATAGATATTTCCATAGTCAGTGTTGGTGATTCAGGTCGGGATGACCGCAGCTAGAGGAAATGATTCGTATTCGTGTGAATGTGTGTGGTTTGACTTCTCCTGAACTAATGTGGAGATAAGATTCCATTCGGATGAAATCAATAACTGCTCACATCCAAACTCAGATGTTGACCTCCACACCCAAACTCACATTACCCCGGCGCTGACACCTCCTTCCCCTTCAACCCATCCCATCAATACTCCAGCTTCAGACAGGTTGTTTTTGTGTGGTAAAGTGTGTTTTAAGATGTTTCATCGAGGAAAAATCCTGTCGTTAGAGTAGTGTTAAATCAGGAAAAAGGTTATATGTTAAATGGAAAAAGTTCACATCCCCTTGAACCCTTGTTTTTTTTACAAGTGTACACTCAAAAAATAAAAATAAAGGTATACCAAAAGTGGGGTTTTGCAGTGATGCCATAGAAGAACCATTTTTGGTTTCCCTAAAGAACTTTTCAGTGATCAGTTCTTAAAAGAGCCATTTTTTTCTTAGTGTGAAGAACGTTTTAAAAATCTAAAGAACCTTTTTCCACTATAAGAATCTTTTGTGGAATGAAAAGGTTCCATGGATGTTAAAGGTTCTTGATGTCAGTAAAGAACCTTTATATGCCAGCGTGTAAAGTGGAGGTTTACAGTTGAAGGTTGATTTTTTTTCTACCTATCATGACTTGATAAAAGGCTTGTTCCAGTAAAGCTCAACTGCAGCTTGCATGGTGCTCATAATAATAATTAATACAGTACGTACCTGGTAATGAACAAAAGTCACTTTCCAAAAAAAGCAAATACATACGTGTCCAAAATTAATTAGTGTCCAAAATAAATTTGATCAAAGTTTTTGACAGCTATTTTACATAATTTCAAAATTGAGCATACATTTTATGACAAAAATGATATGTTTATTGAAATTATATTGTTATTGATATCGTAATTGTATACACATCAAAATTACAGAAATTATATCGTTCAGTACACTAAACATTTTCAAAGATGTAAATAAAACAATTATTATCGGAGTATGTTATGCAAGAAAATGCTACTTTAGTCTTTCTACTTCTCTAAATTTTATGTTTAATTCATTGCGTTATTTGCCTTTTTTTGTGAAATTGACTAGCAATCAGCAATTTATTTGTCAAATTTTTTACAAGCAAAGTGAAAACAATTTTTCCTCCTGATTTACTCAGCAAAGCCAAAACATTTTCTTCCGAACTTACTATCAAACGTTTGTTCTTTTGAGCTTTTTCTTTGAAACTGTCTTTTAAATATTTTCTTTTCTTTAAAACTTTGTTTATTCTGAATTTAGCATCACTTTATTTCTTTTCTTTTTTTTTTTATTACTTTTGAAACTTTTTTTAGAATTCTGAACATTCTTTCAGATGTTCTATAAAAACATTCTTTTTAGCTTTTTATTTTCATAGTTGCGCAGAAATACACAGTGCCTTTAGAAATCTCTGTATCAAATACAGACAAGCATCTTTTTGCCCCAGCATTTGAACTGTTGTTTTGCCGCTAGTGATTATGGCAGCGTCGTTTCAGAAGCATGGTTAGGATGTCAGAGTGATTTAGCCGTCTGTCATTCACATCACAGACAGGCCCTGATCTGCCTGCTATCACACAGTCAACTTTAAAGGACAGGAAGAGGATGCATTTTTAGATGTCAGTCGTTCAGTCATCATGGTTCAAGACAGACCGCCGTCAGACATCTACTTTCAAAACAACCCATTCATCTCTCAATCTCTGTTCTGTCTCTATATAAGAAAGCGGTTTAAAAGTATTTACTTTTTTTTTTTATGTACAAATAAGGTCAGCAGCCAACTGGCAAAGGATTTATTCACCAAAGCCAATCTTTACTTGTATTTGATGCTTAGCAAGTGTCAATTGGCTCTCAATTGATTTTGTCTGAAAGCATGTGACCTATTTTGTCAATCAGTCAAGCTTTCATGAGTGTCTCATATGTCTCTCTGTGTCTCTACAGTGCGTCCAGGGTCATCAGGCTAATAGAGACTCTCGGGTCCTTTGGGTCAAAGATGACAGCTTGCTCACGACTGGCTTTAACCAGGTAATTCTGAAGTTTACTACATACTTAAACGTGCATTATGTTTAATGTAGTGTAATGTGCACTAAATCACTCATTTATAATGGATTTGCTTCTCCGATGTGTTAATAATGGAATGTGAAGTGTAAGTGCATCTGTGTTTGCAGATGAGGCAGCAGGAAGTGAGACTCTGGGACAGCAGGAAGTTGAGCTCATCTCTCAGCTCGCTGTCTTTGGCCACATCCAACGCGTAAGTCAATCACACCAATGCGATTCATGCGCTCTACATGTGACGGATTTTCTGTGGTTTGTGTAGGGAAAATTGTTGCAGTCTGCAGGTGTGTAAATGCATGTGCTGGATGGAAGAAAAACCTTGTCTTTGAGAGCATCAATGACCACATTTACATGTGTATAGTTCATTATTCCTTTATTCTGGATTTTTATTTTTTTTTTATCAATGCATTAATTCTCATATCCTTTAAAACGGCATGCAAGAGTACAGTAAATGGAAAAATGCATGTCATTTTTCTGATGCTTACTCCCGTATGCATATTGACTGATGTTCATTTCTTTTAATATTTAGTTTGGGGTTATTAGAATTTTTTTTTTTTTAAGAAATCAATACTTTTACTCTGCAAGGATGCATTAAATTGATCAAAAGTGACAATAAAGACATTCATAAAGTTACGAAATATTTTTATTTCAAATAAATGCTGTTCTTTTGAACTTTATCAAAGTATCCTGAAAAAAACCCCAAATATATATATATATATATATATATATATATATATATATATACACTGTATATATATTTCCACAAAAATATGAAGCAGCACAAGTGTTTTCAACATTGTTGATTATCAGAAATGTTTATGAGCAGCAAATCAGCATATTAGACTGATTTCTGAAGGATCATGTGACACTGAAGACTGGAGTAATGATGCTGAAAATTCAGCTTTGTATCACATTTTAAAATACATTCAAATAGAGAATGGTGATTTTAAATTTTAAAAAGATTTCACATAATTACAGTTTTTACTGTATTTTTAATCAAATGAATGCATCCTTAAAGGAACACTCCACTATTTTTGAAAATAGGCTCATTTTCCAACTCCCCTAGAGTTAAACAAGGAACTTTGCTGCCGTACCATGGGTGCAGCAGGCGCAATGATATTACGCAGCGCCTGAAAATAGGCTTATTTTTATTTCAAATAAATGCTGTTCTTTTGAACTTTATCAAAGTATCCTGAAAAAAACCCCAAATATATATATATATATATATATATATATATATATATATATACACTGTATATATATTTCCACAAAAATATGAAGCAGCACAAGTGTTTTCAACATTGTTGATTATCAGAAATGTTTATGAGCAGCAAATCAGCATATTAGACTGATTTCTGAAGGATCATGTGACACTGAAGACTGGAGTAATGATGCTGAA